AGAATTAGAAGAAGATATGGGAAGATGGAAAGATCTCCCATGCTCATGGTTTGGCAGGATTAATATAGTAAAAATAGCCATCTTACCGAAAGCAATCTACAGATTTAATGCAATTCCCATCAAATTGCCAACACAATTCTTTACAGACCTGGAAAGAAAAATTCTCAACTTCATATGGAATAACAAGAAACCAAGAATTGCTAAAACAATCCTCTACAATAAAAGATCTTCTGGAGGTATCTACATCCCTGATCTCAAGCTGTACTATAGAGCAACAGTTATAAAAACTGCATGGTACTGGCATAGAAACAGAATGGTGGATCAATGGAACCGAACAGAAGACCCAGAAATAAACCCACACACTTATGGCCACTTGATTTTTGACAAAGATGCCAAAACCATACAATGAAAAAAAGACAGCATCTTCAACAAATGATGCTGGTCCAACTGGATGTCTACATATAGAAAAATGAAAATAGATCCATACTTATCACCCTGCACAAAACTGAAGTCCAAGTGGATCAAAGACCTCAACATAAAACCAGACACATTAAATCGGCTAGAAAAAAAAAGTGGGGAATACCCTAGAACTCATTGGTACAGGAGAAAACTTCCTAAACAGAACACCAACAGCACAGGCTCTAAGAGCAATAATCAATAAATGGGACCTCATGAAATTGAAAAGCTTCTGTAAAGCAAAGGACACCGTCATCAAAACAAAGCGACTGCCTACAGATTGGGAAAGAATCTTCACCAACCCTTTATCTGACAGAGGGCTAATATCCAGTATATACAAAGAACTAAAGAAACTGAAAAGCAGCAAACCAAGTAATCCACTTAAAAAATGGGGAACAGAGCTAAACAGAGAATTCTCTGTAGAGGAAAATCGTATGGCAGAGAAGCACTTAAAGAAATGCTCAATGTCATTAACCATTAGGGAAATGCAAATCAAAACAACCCTGAGATTTCACCTTACACCCATCAGAATGGCCAAGATCAAAAACTCAAGTGACATCACATGCTAGAGAGGTTGTGGAGAAAGGGGAACCCTTCTCCACTGCTGGTGGGAATACAACCACTCTGGAAATCAATCTGGCGCTTTCTCAGACACTAGGAATAGCGCTGCCTCAAGATCCAGCCATACCACTCCTAGGCATATACCCAAAAGAGGCTCAAGTACACAAAAAGGACATTTGCTCAACCATGTTTGTAGCAGCTTTATTTGTAATAGCCAGAAGCTGGAAACAGCCCAGATGCCCCTCAACTGAAGAATGGATGCAGAAACTGTGGTACATCTATACAATGGAGTATTACTCAGCAATGAAAAATAAGGAAATCATGAAATTTGCAGGTAAATGGTGGGACCTGGAAAGGATCATCCTGAGTGAGTTGTCCCAGAAGCAAAAAGACACACACGGTATATACTCACTCATATAAACATACAACATAGAATAAACCCACTAAAATCTGTACATCTAAACAAACTAAGCAAAAGAGAGGACCCTAACTAAAATGTTCAATCCCCATCCTGAAAGGCAAAGAGGATGGACATCAGAAGAAAAAGAAAACAGGAAACAACCTAGGAACCTGCTACAGAGGGCCTCTGAAAGCCAGAAGAAGAAAACAGGAAACAACCTCGGATCCTGCCACACAGGGCCTCTGAAAGCCTCTGCTGTGCAGACTGTCAAAGCAGATGCTGAGCCTGATGGCCAAATGTCGGGCAGAGTGAATTTTATGTAAGAAGTGGGAAATAGTAAGAGCTGGAGAGGACAGGAACTCCACAAGGAGAGCAACAGAACCAGAAAATTTGAACACAGGGAACTTCCCAGAGACTCATACTCCAAGGACTATCCATGGAGATAACCTAGAACCCTGAGAATGCAGCCACTTCTGATGAGAACTGATAGACTAAGATCAGAAAGGAGAGGAGGACCTCCCCTATCAGTGGACTTGGGGAGGGGCATACATGCAGAAAAGGGGGGGGGGGACCGGGAAGGGAGGAGGGAGGGGCTTATGGGGGATACAAAATTAATAAAGTGTAATTAATAAAAGTTAAATTAAAAAAAAATATATATATATATATACACACAAAAAAAGAAGATTTCAATAGGGAAACCAACCAGACATACAAATAAAAAGGAGGTACCATAGGTGTACCTCCTATGAGGTAATAAAAACCAATATGGGAATTTTCAGTGAGCATGGACAAGGGAAGGCTTTATAAATGTGAGTGTGTGTGTGTGTGTGTGTGTGTGTGTGTGTGTGTGTGTGTGTGTTGAAAGGAACAAACAAAACAAGATTAGAAAGCTGGAAATAGAAGGAAAAGCCAGAACAAAAAAGAAAGCTCACATACAGAAGACAGCTGGAATAAGCTGCGAACAAGAAGAATGCACTCCAGAGGCAGAGGCAGGTGAATCTCTTATAAACAAAAGACTGGCCAGTTTTATATAGGAAGTTCTAGGCCCACCTGAAGAAAAGAGAAAGAAGGAGTAAAAAATGGGGGCCTGGAAAGACAGTTCAACAATCAGAGCACTTGCTGCTCTTCCACTGGACGTGAGCTCTAATCCCAGCACCCATGCTGGGCAGCTCACAATCATCTACAACTCCAGCTCCAAGGATCCGACATCCCGGCCTGCAGGGACATACAGGTGCAATTTTTTAAAAAGAGAATGTATAGTTCAAGGCTTTCTGAATGCCAGGCCCCAATAAATGTTGTCTGACTAAAGGACCTGTCGCATGTACAAGTGGCCTTTCCTTTCTTTGAAAATCCTCCTGACTTGTATTTGGTGACACTGTAGATACAGAATTCTTCAAGTGATATAAAGCTCATCATACTGCTGTTTAGCATTAAAAAAAAAATCTATAATTTTTCCTAGCATAAGCTTGAACAGGTAATACATGTTTTCTAATATACCTGTATCTCAACAGCCTCCAAATTAAATAAACTTTGTGGAGATGATAAATGTCCAAAGCATTTAAATGACAGGCATTTTTATTTCATAAGTTGGTAGAAAACATAAACATTCAAAGAAGCCTTCAGAAACCTACTATTGGAGAAATAATACCGTACAAATAATTATACTAAATCTTCTCCAGTCATAGATGGGTAAGAGAATAAAAGAACTAGAAAGAGGTGCAAGCTGCATTCTATAATCAACCCCCTGTAAATCTGCATATATACCAGCATATTAAAGGCTTTGCTCAGCATAGCTTAACTAAGCTATTTTCTAAAACTGGCAACTACATTCTTTTATCAATTAATGCCTAATAAATTTTGAGAACCCTATATCAAGTAGGAATTTCCTGAAGGAAATACAATGTACTCAAAGTCTCTGAGGGTTACTTACATGTGAGACTCCATTTACTTGAGCCTAATTATAGTACAACAGCAGCAAAATAGGTTTGCCAAGTGCTGCCCTTCTCACTGTGACAGCAAAATGTGAGTTCTCTTACTATGGAGTAATCAACACTTTGTATCACGATTCAACCTCTACTTTACAACTGTAAATGTAGGTTGACTCTATACAAATTCAAATACCAAAACACAACTTAGAGAGGAGGGAAAATAATCTAACAAAAATAAGGCTACCATTGTAAGGGCAATGAAAGTTTATACAGAGAATGCACACAAATGAGTCAGCACCACTGCCAAGTGCATTGTACTGTGCAAAATATCAGAGTCTAATGATTTAGGGCATCATCAGTTAAGATCATGCTCAGAAAAGAAAAGGAAAAATTTGCCAAGCTATTGTTCCATTGTCTGAATTAAACTAATAAAGTGTAACTGCCCTCTTTTGGTTTGTAACAGAAATGGTTTAATTTTATCAATCAGCCACTAGAGTTCATAATCAGAGAGTACATAGTGAACTAGTTAGAGCCAGGGAGCTTTAGAATTGTAAAATAAATAATTTTCAAAAGCAGTTGATTATTTAGCTAGAGAACTTCCAGTTTCAGGAAACCTTACACTTGCATTCAGTACTTCTGCTTGCCCTCAGGGCTTTTCCTATTTCTTGGTGACAGACTCTGACTCCCTTGGTGATAGCGTTGCACACAGCCAACCCAAGGAGAGAAACCAGAACTGATCTAGACCAACCATGGATCTCCTCTTCTCATTTGTCACTTATTGGGCTTCTTTGGACTGTGTGTGATCTATTCATGAGGCCAGGGGCACGTAGAGAAATATAAGCTTGGAGCACTTTCTGTAAGATTGACTTACTTACACACACACACACACACACACACACACACACACACACACACACGGACACAAGAGAGCATTTTACCCCCACGTTTTGCATGGAGTACTGGTATGAGAAAAATGATACCTAGGTTTGCAGTTATCACCCTGTGACCATGAGATAGTCAGAAGCATGTTAACAGTTTATCGCCATGTTAAAGAGAAGAGAAAACAGAACAGTGAAGACCTTAAAGCCACAGTGAATTATGTTTAGGATAAAACACCCATTACACTATTTTTATAATTTTAGCTGGGCTACAGTGAGTTTCACTCTATCTTTCTCATCCACGTGTCTGAGCACACTGGACCAACCGCTGCGCTTGGAGCGTGTTTCCCCATTGCCCACCCCGTCTCCTCAGAGCCAATTTCACTTCTGCTTTTGTGACCGAGTTCCACTGTACCATCTAGCTCAGTAAACAAACCGTCTCCAGGCTGCTCATCAGGTCTCAGTAAATCCTGCCACTGATAAGAGACTATCTACGCTTTAAGTTTCTCTCAGCTGGGTATGCTATCACGGCAGCCTGCGCTTCCTGATCCCACAGCTCCCTATGCTGTTGTTTTTATAACATGATGAAAAATATCCGTAACATACTTTAATTTATAATTTTAGAAAAGCAAAAAGGAAGTAGGTAACTTCTAAAATTTTTGGCTTTGTATATCCATATTTAAATCGTTATTACGAGAATGTAATGTTTTATAACATAATAAAGAACTTTAAAACTTATAAAGACAAATGACAGGAAAAACTGATCCATACTCTTACCTTTCCGTGTATTCTCTGTGACATCTACCCCAAACTGGATAATGTCACCAGAAAGAATTTCACATGGTGGACTTTCTTCAGAGCCTCGACTCAATCTCTGACTATTTATAAAGGTACCATTACTACTTTTAGTGTCTTGGAGATAAAACTGAAAAAGAAACAAATACAAAAAGCAAAAGATTAACAGTAATAATCTCAAACTTACTTTTTAAAAAGTACTGTCAACTTTGCAAACTACTTCAAATGGTCTTTCCCCTATCAACTGAAGCCACTCAGTTCAGTTAACACTCAATATACATGAAAATAAAAACTTAAAACTGGATAGCTTAAAATCTAACTGAATATATGGTGTAACCACCTTATAAAACAGTTTGTGTTATGTCCTTAAAGTGTTAAACATAAAATTAGAGTACAACCCAAAACTTCCAAATCTCCTTGGTATTTATCCAAAATAATAGAAAACACGTCTTCAAAAAATTTGCATATAAAAATTCATCATAATATTGTTCATAACAATCAAAAACAGAACAATTGAAATGTCTATCAACTGAATACATAAACAAATGCAGCCTATCCACACACCAAGTTATTACTGACTACACAAAAGAATGAAGTATGGATGCGTATGTGCCTTCATTTGATGACCCTGCAGAAGAGAACACGAAGTAAGAGAAGACAGTTAGGAATGAGTGCCTGTAAGTTTAGCATCTGTGAGGCTTAGGCAGAAGGATTATGACATCCAAGAAGGAAAGAACCTGTCTCAAAAGACAAGGAAAAAGACAGGTGATAACTGGAGGTGAAAAAGACAGCTCAGCGACACAGCGCTTGTCAAGCGTACACTAGGCCTTGGATTGAACCCCAGCA